ATTGTTTTATATTATATAGAGCATGAAAACATCATCGCATCGTAAGAAATTTAGATACAATGAAGTGCCTGTCATATTCAAAATGTTTCACTGGATTTCAAACATTTTAGTCAGGAATTAAAGTTTGGGAAAAACCCAACTAGTAAATGTTCAAGTTTATGCCACAATAACACGTAAACTAATGCAAAAAATAAACCATTACTTACTCATTAGAATGATCTCCTCGGCTGGGTCAGGTTGCGAGTCGCATCTTGTTCCTTTTCTGAGGTAAATCCTGGGTTATTCCTCTCAGCGCGTCTTTTTCCAGAAACGAACAGTAGCCGAGATGAACTAGATGAATCCTCACGCTTTGTGCACGGAGCTGATGTGGGCGTTTACATGCAGCGCGTCTTACGTGGATGATTGTTATAACAAAAGCGAAAGTAGCTCGTTGGCGTGGTCACCTTAAAAATAGTTCGATCAGACGGAGAAACTGGACATTGTGTTGGTTTCATACGGATTACTTTATCACAGAATATTTGTTTTCAACATGACTGACTTCATTTAAAAGTAGACACTTCAAGCTTTCTTATCAAATCAATATCATTTGTAATCATGCTGATTTTTAGAGGTAAAGACTGGCACTCTTCGTGTGATATTGACTAACTTTCTTTTTGTGGTATTTTTTATGCATAACTGTATGGGGAGTGTGTGTGTGTGTGTGTGTGTGTCACAGAGAGAGAATGAGACAATCAACATGAATGGTACATAATCTTTCACAACACATAGCTAACTTAGGGACATCATAACTAGCCCCCATATTGATTTACGTTCTTAAATATGTCCATATTTAAGACCGTATTTATTTGGGTTGTGCGTCAGTAATAATGGTCCGTGGGGAAGGCAAGGCAATTTATTTGTAAAGCACCATTAAAAACAACAGTTAGTTAACCAATGTGCTGTACAGCTTTTAAACATACATTTCACCCCACTAATATACAGCATAGAGACATCTGACCACACAACATTAAATGACAAAATATCAATAAATAAAAACCTACAAAAAAGCCAGAGAAAAAAGATAAGTTTTCAAAAGAGATTTGAAAGACCCCAGTGTGGAGGCTGTTCTAATATTTAACGGCAAACTGTTCCAAAGTCTCGGAGCCATCACTGAAAAAGCACGATCGCCCCATCATTTACGTTTTCTCCTTAGGGACAGTCAAAAGTTTCTGGATGGTGAGTATGGTTGTAATAAATCTGAAAGATACGGTGGTACAAGACCATTTAAAGATTTAAAAACAAACAACGAAATCTTAAACTCAATCCTATAATGGACTGGCAGCCAATCTAGAGAAGAAAGAATAGGGGTAATATGGTCCCATTTCCGAGAGCCTGTCAGCAATCTTGCAGCAGCATTCTGGACAATTTGCAATCGAGACAAAGTGGACTGACTAATCCCCACATACAGGGAATTGCAATAGTTCAGACGTGGCAAGACACAAATGCATGCATCACTCTCTCGAAATCATAAAACGACAAAAATGGCTTGTCCTTTGTCAGTGTTCTTAATTGAAAAAAGCCTGATCTGACAACAGCATTGATCTGTTTGTCAAATTTTAACAACTCATCAAAAAGCACCCCTACATTTTTTTACCATGGATTTGCCATGAATAGATAAAGGACCTAAATCAAACTTGAAGGACCCATATGTATTTGGGGGTGCAAACACAATAATCTCTGTTTTAGATTCATTCATATGCAAAAAATTCTCATCTAACCAAGTTTTCAGATCATTCAAACAAGCAAGAAGAGGCCCTAGTGAGCTACTTTCCTTCTTTACTGGCATATATATTTGTGTGTCATCAGCGTAAGAGTGAAATGATATGCCGTGTTTTTTAAAGGGGTGGTTGATTGCGATTTCACTTTTTTAACGTACGTTAGTGTGTAATGTTGCTGTTTAAGCATAAACAATATCTGCAAAGTTGCAGCGCTGAAAGTTCAATGCAAACGGAGATATCGTCTTTTAAAATTCTGGCAGTTTAATGCCTACAAAAACGGCTGGTAGGGACTACAATGAGCTTCTTCCCAGGTCCGTTACGTCACGATGTGGAATAAAGGTAAATTATGTGAAAAATAATGCGTTTTTTAAAAAACGAAGCATGAACACATGTTAGACTGCACCCCATAAACACAATCAAGCCTAGAAAAAACACAGTCAACCACCCCTTTAAAAATAGACCCAATTGGAAGCATATATAATGAGAACAAAATAGGAATCAAAATGGAAACACAGTGTTCTGTGTGTAGTTACAGTAAATGGACTAAACGAAGCCTCGAGGCAAATGATTTTTTGTAATTGAGATACTCGAGGAATCGTTTCAGCCCTAGAAAATACTTTTAAAAAATCTCAAAAGTCAAGGTAATTCAAATTCAAAATGACTGGAGGTATAACACAGTAGACTGTTATTAACTATAAATATTCTGCAAAAACAACGGCAGCTTTCAGTCTGTCACCATGATGCAAACATGAAATATCAGACATACTGTAGTAGTTGCAGGTTTTTTTATTCACTTGCGCTGCTTTTTCATTGTCTTTTCTATGTAAACATGGTCGTGTTTTATTGTTGTGCTCTGTTCTCTTGCAGCATCTAATGCATGAAACGGCTTTCTAAAAACACTGCGCTCAAGATAAAAGCGCATCTTCTTAATATAATAATTCACTCCCATCTTCTTGCATGTTTTTCCCATTCCACTGCCCGCGTCTCATCTTTATCAACACAAAAGCTCATTCTGTGTGAATGGCACCGACTGATCTATAATAGAGAACGGCGCCTAGCGATATGAGTGCGTCACGCGTGAGCGGTTAATCACGTGCGCCGACATGCGGTTGGATCGTTCTTTTCTCTTTACTGTTATCATTGGCATATTGTCAAAGTGTCTAATTCTGTCGATTGGTAATATTTCTATTCAAAATCGCGATTCCTCAATTTATAAAAAATAAAACAATGCAAAACAGATTAATCATGCAGCCCTAATTTAATGCGATTGCCATGCGATACTCCAAACTCACTTCATAACGTCAGTCGGGTGTTTGAAATAAATCCTTCTGTGAGATGATGCGGCTTCTTATACAGAATAAGGCACGCAACATATTTCATAGAATTCTAAGCAGTGATAAAGGTTATGTCGATTAGCATTGCATTTTTATATACTTCATTATAATAATAATTATAGTAAGAACTCCGATACATGATATATTGTCGTAGTCGTGTGTTTATTAGTCACGCTGAATCAATGAAAGCAGTTAAATCTTCTGTTTATTCAGCTACCGCTATAGGGTTTTCCCACTAGATTTCTTCTGCGGGGAGAGCGCCATCTGGCCTTCGGATGGAGATTTACTACTGATCACAGAACCGTGCTTCACTGACAAGATGTGCATGTTCATTTCGATTTATCGTGCAGCCCTACATTAAATTCAAATTAATCAATAAAATCTGAAAAATTGCCCAGCGAACAGGCAGAGGTGAATGAACAGCACTTTCATGACATTTAAATTCTCAGCTGTAATGCGATATCATATATCATTACTACTGGAAGACCACAGCAAACCAACCACCTGCACCAAAACTTACAACTTGTGTTGTAGGGAAATGCATTTTTGTGTAGTCGCACAGAGGAAATGAGCACCTATGACCAATGTCTCTGAATGACAACAATGAGGAAAGACAGAAATGATACTACTTCAAGCACAATACCGCAATTATATTTTATGCATACTACGGCGCAGTGATTAGATTGAATAAGCTCTTTCTCATGAATAAATGCAGAGAAGCGCTCAGAACTGGATGCCATAGAATCGTGCCTCTCCAGCCCCGGCAGCCAACTACACACTCCGGAGCTGGAGAATTTCAGAGGCACGATTCTACGTTAGATTCTGTGACATAGCTTCCACTTTGCTCTGAGTACGAAATTGCTCTGAAAGATGCAAAAATAACCAATTTCCAATTACTGATAAACTTTGATTCCTATTAGTGGTTTCAGTGTCGTGGAACCTGCACTCATCTGTTCACATCTCAAAAAGCGTATTCTGGGGTTTCATGACCCTTTAATGTACTTCTTCTTGAGCCACTCCTTTGTTGCCTTAGCGGTATGTTTTGGGTCATTGTCATACTGGAAGACTAATCCACGACCCCTTCAAACACGACGAGTTGAGTTGATGCCAAAGAACTCAATTTTGGTCTCATCTGACCACAGTACTTTCTTCCAAGCTTTACAGTGATTTAGATGTTAATTGTCAAACTTAGGACAGGCCTGTACATGTGCCCTCTTGAGCAGGGGGACCTTGCAGCCACTGCAGAATATAAATCCATTGCAACGTAGTGTGTTACCAATGGTTTGCTTGGTGACTGTGGTCCCAACTGCCTTAAGATCATTAACAGGCTCCTCCCGTGTAGTTCTGGGCTGATCCCTCACCTTTCTCATGATCATCCTTACCTAATGAGGCGAGCTCCAGACCAAGGGCGATAGGTGTTTTTTTTTTGTTTTGTTTTTTCATTTCCCAATAATCACACCAACAGTTCTTCACCAAGCTGATTGTCTTGTAGCACATTCCAGCATTGTGCAGCTCTAAAGTCTTTTCCCTGATGTCCTTTGATAGCTCTTTAGTCTTGCCTATGGTGGTGGAGATCAGCAGGGGATCAAATATTTTTTTTCCCACTGTAAAACAAAACAAAAAACAGTGAATACCAGAAATAACCCATGTGTATTTGCACTCCAGGTTGCACCAGTATCATTGCTACAGCTCGTAGAGATAGTGAAGAATTTACACAAACATTAGGGCTTAAAGCAGGAGTGCCCAATCCTGATTTTGGGATCTATCTTTCTACAGAGTACAGTGCCAGTCCTGCTCCAACACACCTGCCTGTAATTATCAAGTGTTCCTCAACCAGTGCTGGCTTCAACTTAGGTCAACTTAATATAACATCTCATTATGTGGATATCAAGTGTGCAGCCCTTAATCCTACCCCTCAAATTCGCAGGATAAGACATGTTCAGTTTGGGTTGAGACCTGTGGCTCATCATCTATTAATATTTATTGGGGGTCCCACAAGGATTGATTCTGGGTCCAACTCTTTTTTTCATTGTAAATGTTGCCCCTGGGGTTCATTTTTAAGAAATATAGAGCTATCATTTTTATGCTGTTGATCTTCAATTGTATCTTTCCATAGAGCATGATGCCTGTTCATCTTTCTTCCATTTGACAATTAGTTAGACTGAAGTCAAAGGGTGGTTGGCTAAAAATTGTCTTCAACTCTGAGGATAAAATCAAACTCATCCTTTTTAGAAAGAGTCAGTATGACAAAAGAAAATGGTTGATAGTCCATAAGTCCTTGATTAGCTGGTTCAAGTGTGTTTGATCATGGTGGGAGCTAAACTCTGCATTTCCTGAGATTGACACCCCTGGTGTCAGGGAAACTCACCCCAAAATTACAGGCACGAAGCATTGCATTCAATTAGTCATGGAATTTTTAAATTTTTGGATTAATGATTCAAAAGTAAAACTGTACAATTAATCATATCTTTATATGGACTCGTGTCTGTGAATATTAAAGCTCAAAAAGCTTGCTATTGAAATCTTAAGTCTGTATGTTCTGTTTGTCTGTGTGAATGAGCACCACAGTTTCGGCATGTGTGATGCTTGTGGTGTTTTCGGCGTCTACGTTTCACTATATTAGGTCATGGACACCTGAACTTCATCTGCAGAGCTGATATGAGAGTCACTTCATGAACATTTCACAGTTTCATTTGTTGGGCCACAAAAAAACACAACTGTTTTGCTGCAGCGGAGACTAGAAAAACATTATACTAAAATGTATGTGATATAACGCATACTCATAATTGACAAATAATAATAACAAAAAAAAAGATGTGTCTTTAGATGTTTTTTGAAAAATGGCTAAAGACTCAGCTGCTTTAATTGAGAAATGCAGGTCATTCCACCAACTGGGAATAGTCCAGAAAAAGGTCAGTGAGAGTGATTTTGTGACTCTTTGAGATGGCACCACAAGGCATTGTTCATTTGCAGAATGCAAGCTTCTGGAGGGCGTATAATTCTGAACTAGCTAGTTTAGGTATATTGGTGCAAAGCCAGTGGTTATCCTGTAGGCAAACATCAGTAGCTTGAATTTGATGCAAGCGGCTATTGGCAGTCAGTGCAAACTGATGACGAGAGGTGTAACGTGAGCTTTCTTCGACTCGTTGAAGACAACTCTAGCTGCCACATTCTGGATCAGTTGCAGAGGCTTGATAGTACATGCTGGAAACCCGCTGAGAGAGCATAACAATAGTCCAGTCTGGAGAGAACAAAAGCTTGGACAAGGAGTTGTGTGGCCTTCTATGGTAGGAAGGGTCTTATCTTTATAATGTTGTAAAAGGCAAATCTGCAAGACCAGGCCATAGTAGCAATATGGTATGTAAAGCTTAACTGATCATCAATCACAACTCCATGGTTCCTGGCTGTCCTGGAAAGAGCTATGGTGGACGAACCTAGCTGTATAGAGTAGTTGTAATGAAGTGCGGGGTTGGATGAGACCATGAGCAGTTCTTTCTTAGCAAGGTTGAGTTGAAGGTGATGGTCCTGCATCTAGTCAGAAATGTCTGTCAGAAAGCTTGCAAGAGTAGAGTTGAGTGTCTTCAGCATAGCAGTGATAAGAAAAGCCATGCTTCTGAATAACAGACCCTAATGATGACATGTAGATGGAGAAGAGAAGTGGTCCAAGCACTGAGCCTTGAGGAACCCCAGTAGCAAGAAGTTGTGACTTGATTTTTTTTTTTTGCATAGCTTGTCAGAGAAATACGGCTCTGTGTAGTAAATGCTGCTCCATCTGAAAGCAGGTGATGGAGATTTACCACTAATCACAGAACTGGCTTTACTGACGACATGTGCATGACAATCGCATTTGATTAATCGGGCAGCCCTAATGGCATAAAATTCAAAGGAAGTGTTGTTGAGGTTATAAGAGCATGGGAGGTATTTCCAGCTTTTGGAAATGAGGAGACACGTACCCCCACCGCTCCCAACCTGTTGTGGGGGGGGGATAAGTTGTCTTTACACTCGTAGGTCGTCACACAAGGAGGGCTTATGCTTCTGCTGACGCTTCTGCGCCACTGAACAAACTCCACCTAAATATAGAGCTAACTCACTTGAGTGAAAACAGCTGTCCACGCCTTTCTAATTAGCACAGCAAAGCCTATAGTGTGCAGTTGTCTCGAAATCTAAACTAAATGTGGTACAGTTTGCTACTTAAGCACAAATGTTCAGTTAGCAACAAGTCTTTTTGTAAAATCTAATTACAGCTAATGGTAAACAACATGCACAATCAGCATAAACTTTTAAATAAAATAAGAGTTAAATGTATTAATCCTCCTAACTAGCAGATATTTATTCTAAATTACGGAAACAGAAAACTGGTATTAAGCAAAACACTGACATGCTTTTGTCGTGTCCGCTGACAAATCGCTTTATTTGGTATTTGGGACGTGTCCTAGAGAAAGCAAAGACTTAAGGACACGAGGTTCTGAGATTACAGGTTACACTTTCTTCAGATCTAGCATACATGTTGTTGGATTTGATATTTTAAATGTCTAAATGTTTTCATGTCTTGCTTTGTGCCAATAAACTGGTCTTAACTTGTTTTTGTTTCTTTTCACCTTAGACCTGATGGCGCTGAAAGAGAAGAGTCGAGAACTGAATGAAACGGAAGAAAAAAATCAGACTGAGAAATGTCATGATGATATGGCTGGGGAAAAATCTTTTAGTTACTCTCAGACTCGTAAAAGAGAAACTAGAAAGCCTAAAGTCCAGATGAGAGTTCACACTGAAGAGAGACCTTCCACCTGTCAACACTGTGGAAAGAGTTTCAGTGGAAAACAAAGCCTTACAAGCCACTTACGAATCCACAAACACAAACCTTATACCTGCAAACAGTGTGGGAAGTGTTTCAAACTAAAAAGATGTGTTAAGACTCACATGAGAATTCACACCGGAGACAATCCTCACACCTGCAAACTGTGTGGGAAGAGTTGCACATCAAATGCTCGTCTGATGTCTCACATGATCGTTCACACTGGAGAGAAGCCTCACACCTGCAAACTGTGTGGGAAGGGATTCACAGAAAATAGCCATCTGATGATTCACATGAGAGTTCACACCGGAGAGAAGCCTTACACCTGCGAACTGTGTGGAAAGAGTTTCAAACGGAAAATAAGCCTTAAGCATCACATAAGTATTCACTCAAGAGAGAAATGTTTTAGATGTCATGTGTGTGAAACAAGTTTTGCTGACAGGAATCACCTTAAGAATCATGTACAAAATCACATTGGGGAGAGGCCTTGCATGTGCCATCACTGTGGAAAAAGTTTCACAATCAAAAAATATCTTCAGTCTCACATAAAAATTCACACAGGAGAGAAGCCTTTCACCTGCCCTCAGTGTGGAAAGAGCTTCATGTTTAAAGGAAAACTTAAGGTGCACATAAAAATTCACACTGGAGAGAGGCCTTACAAGTGTCCTCAGTGTGAAAAGAGCTTCACAGTTAAAGGAAGCCTTAAGGAACACATTAGACTTCACACTGGAGAGAAGCCTTACAAGTGTGTTCAGTGTGACATCAGTTTCACATATAACAAAAGCCTGAAACAGCATTTGCAAACTCATTCTGGAAAGAATTCCTCATTTCCCATGTGACAAAAGGTTTAGAAATAATGCATTCACTCTGGAGAAAGACAGTTCAATTGTGATTGGTGTAATAAAAACAGCAGACTTACAAATATATGAAAAGTAATTTAAATGTGAACCTGTTTGTTCTTTATTAAAAGAAAGTACCCTTTCAAAAAGTTTGTTCTTTATTAAAAAAAGTACCCTTACAAGAAGTTTGTTCAAGACCGCTGTTAGTATACTTTTCAACTAAAAATAAGAATAGAAAGTAATCGCCTCCCTTTAAAATAATTACATTGTTTTGCTAAAATGAAGAAGGACACAGTTTTTGTTTTATCCAGCTGTATTTACTGTAGTATAAATAGCTACAAGCGGCGATCATCGGGGTCCAAGCACAACCCATTGGGCAATTGATGTTGAAAAGACAACAAAAAACAGGTCAAATATGCAAATCCAACTGATGTCAAAAACCTGAAACGACATTGATTTGATGTAAATTTAACGTCAAACAAATTGGCCTACTTAAACATTAAACCAATTTCATTGTAGGATTACCTTCCTAATTTCACCTAGTTACCACTGGAAGAATTTGCTGTTCAAAGTGAATTTAAAATGAAGTTACAGCATCGTCATCAGTGACTAATATTTGACGTCAAAGTAATATCAAGTTGTCCACTGGGAACCGCCTCGTGTAGAGGATACAGTTATGTTACAATGGCCATGTCTCTTTTCAAACATAATACTAGTAGGCCTATTTAAGTGTCTTTCTATGGAAGTATTATTTTATGTACCATATCACAATAGACAAATAATATTGTCTCTTCATTTTAACTGGACTATAATATATCCAATCATGTCTGACAACTTGACGACAAATGTTTTCTGAAATTATGATCTATAAATAAGAAGGTATTTTGGAGATCACCGATTTCTTTGAAAACCGATCTGTTGAACCATTTACACCGATTTGAAACTACACGATCTAAAATAATTTGTTGTCTTGTGCCTTCCTCAGGTGGACAACATTAGTGTAACGTCCTTCATCTCTTATTTCTATTGATATAAATTGCTGACATTTTATAAATTGTTGTAAGCAGCAATCAGGGCATCAGAAATTCATGAAGGTTGGCATGAGTACACTTGAAAGCAGCAATATGTAGGCTACTGCAATAAAAAGAGGCAACCTTTTATTTTAGCTGAACAGCAATTAATAAATTTATGTCATGCAACTTGACAAATGTTTGTAATATTATTTGGATATATTAACCTATATATTAAACTATTTATAACCTATATATTAACCTAGATATAGTTACCTATATTAAGGTAACATTTAATGATAATTAAGTTTTGTTTTTTTTTGCATTTTGCTACAAGTCATTATTCTAAACCATTTACACTGATTTCAGTTTATGTGGGTTGATGTGTCATTCACATTGATATTAACAGTTGATGCCTGAGAAATTGGTGAAACACATAAAAAATCTGCGTACACAATGCCAGTTATCTGATCCCTTCTGAGTATTATATATGTGAACTACAGACATCAGTTGGTACATTTACATGTAAATGATGACAAAAATATACTATAAATAAACAATTTTTATATACTATAAAATATAGTATATGAAAACACACAGCTTTCACCTCCTTAAACATATACCCCTGTAAGAATTTATTTGTTTTTCAGAGTGATGGAACCTGATAGAAAATATATTAAATATAAAAAATATTTCTCATCTTGTGTTTCCCACTAGTGGACAACATTAGTACAACATGTTGTAGACCATCGGCCATTTTGAGTGGGCAAAAACTTATTTTCCCATCTCCTCTTAAACCACGTGACTAATTCACACAAAATTTTGCATGTATCTATAGACATCAATGACAAAGTTATCAAAAGAATTTTAGTCAAACCATTTAGAAAATATACGCCAATATTTTGTAGCCACGTTAAAGTACTTATTATAGTGCCACCCAGTGTTGGGTAAGTTACTTTCAGTGTTAAAAGTAAGTAATTAGCCTTTTAGTTTTAAAACAACAATACATGTTGTAGACCATCGGCCATTTTGAGTGGGCAAAAACTTCTTTTCCCATCTCCTCTTAAACCACGTGACTAATTCACACAAAATTTTGCATGTATCTATAGACATTAATAATGACAAAGTTATCAAAAGAATTTTAGTCAAACCATTTAGAAAATATATGCTAACATTTTGTAGCCATTGCTCCATGCACTTATCAAACTATATCAAGTCAAGTCAACTTTATTTATGTAGCGCCTTTAACAATACAAATTGTGTCAAAGCACTTTACAGTATCAAATAGGAAAATAGTTTGTCAATAATGTAAAATGACAAGATTAAACACTCAATTTTCAGTTAAAGGCAGTTCATCATTGAATTCAGTGATGTCATCGTCCAGCTCAGTTCAGTTTAAACAGTATCTGTGCAATCAAGTCGACGATATCGCTGGATATTAAGTGTCCCCAACTAAGCAAGCCAGAGGAACCAAAACTCCATCGGTGACAGAATGGAGAAAAAACCTTGGGAGAAACCAGGCTCAGTCGGGGGGCCAGTTCTCTTTCGGCCAGACGAACCAGCAGGTTGATCCATGCTGCAGTAAAGTCACATTGTGCAGAGGAATCATCTGGTTCCTGTGGTCTTGTCCCGGTGGCCGTCTAGGAGACAAGGTCCTCAGGGGATCTGTATCTGGGGCTCATCTAGTTGTCCTGGTCTCCGCTGTCTTTCAGGGCTGTAGAGGTCCTTTCTAGGTGCTGATCCACCATCTGGTCTGAATATGTACTGGATCCGGGTGACTGCAGTGACCATCTGATCTGAATACAGACTGGATCTGGTGGCAGCGGTGACCTCGGAATAAGCGAGAAACAGACTAATATTAGATGCCATTCTTCTAACGATGTAGCAAGTACATCGGGTGTTATGAGAAGTGTTCCCGGTTCCAGTTGACCTAATTAATGCAGCCTAAAAATCCTTTAACAGATTTGAATATTAGAAGCGTATTAGTGTGTTATGTGTAAGCCAGGTTAAAGAGATGGGTCTTTAATCTAGATTTAAACTGACAGAGTGTGTCTGCCTCCCGAACAATGTTGATCAGTGATCATATCATTTACAAAAAGTGCTTTCACAGAAAGGGACCTGATATTCAATTTGGCAAGTACACTTTGGTTACTGTATGACTCTGAGGCCACACTTCTTGTGGTTTTGCATGTTTAATTCTATTCAGTATGTAGTATGTATGTTAATAGGTCTGTCCATGGCTTTGGTTGTTGATGCGAAAGTTTAAAGTGTACTGTGGATTTTATTCTTGGCATGATTGTATTGTACAACAGTAGGTTATGAATTTTTGCAATATGCATTTTTATTAAACCATATTTACAATTTTTATATGTGATGCCTAATATGTATATAACATTTTCTGTAATATTTACAGTTTTGTAATATTTACATATTTACAGTTAAGGTGTGATACAATTAATGTATGTATGAAATTATTTTAACATGAATGTGGGAAGAATGAAAAATTCTGTACAGTGCAATGTATCAAATCCACTGTGAAATAAAAGTGCAAGAAATTCTAACTTGTTTTAGATATTATGTCAGTGACATTTTTATTATATTTTTTATTATGAAGATTTTATTAGATTTTTGTTAGTAAATTATATAAAGAATTGCAGGTAAGTATTTGTGTCCATGTTTTAAACACTGTAGGCTACAATACAATATAAACAGCCAGTAGGTTTATCCTGCAGGAAGAGTGGCCTGATTAATATGAGTCCTGCACAATGCTTAAAAAAAAATCTCAATTTTCGTATAGATGTATATTAAATCCTAATGTCTATGTCCTGCATGATCCCTGCACAGAACGCAGCATTCCTTCAGGAATTCCTGCAGGATTTGTTTTGTTAGAGCGGGACTTTTATTTTGGTGTGGTGGCGTGACGTCATGAGCCTGCGCCGCGCTCCTGCGTCTGTGATTCGGCTGCAGAAAGGTTTGTTTTTAATCGTTTAACTTAAAGTGTTTAAATCAGTGCAGCCTGTTTGTTTTATAGTGAACTTTTTAATGAATCAATTATTTTCTAATGTAACATTGTGATGTATCAACTAGCGATAATGAACATGAGTAAAGCACAGAAAAGCTGCGTCTCGTTTCTCTTCATAGTGAAGCAGTTCATCATAAACACTGTTTGGATTGAAACATTTAAAGGATTTAAACACATTTAGACAGAAAGATGCAGAAAAGAGCTGTCCATGACTAGAGGACAAAACATCTGCTCATATCAGTGCAAGTGAAAGTTGTGAAGTTAATTTATATGATTGATGATAAACAGTTTTTACAGAGACTCATGTAGTTTAATGTTTAATGCTTTATCTATTGATTATATAGCTTATTTATAGTGCATATTATCTATATATATATTCATATTAGGGGGCGTGGCTATGTCTCTTTGGTCAAATGTTGGTTTTTCTTGAAGTTTATCGGAGTTTTAATCGCTGGATTCACAGCAGACTGACAGCTGCAGTACATCAGTGTAAATACAACAACAACACACACATCTGTAACACACTCACACACACACACATCTGTAACACTCACACACACACACATCTGTAACACACACACACACACACATCTGTAACACTCACACACACATACATCTGTAACACACATACACACACACACACATCTGTAACACTCACACACACATTTGTAACACACATACACACACATCTGTAATTACAACACACACACACACACACTGTGTAAGCTGTCAAACATAATCTACAGATCAATACAGACCAAACAATACATATCTAAATATTATATCTGTGTTCTTTTATTAAGTAGATGTGCTAGTTTTGAGTGTTTTGACTTCATCCAGAGATCTGTCTGTTAATTATTCTGATCTCAAACACACAGAGAAACTCCTGCTGAAGCGACACTCGAGACACTGTTATAAAGATGGCGTTTATTAAAGAGGAGAGTGAAGACGTGAGGATTGAAGAAGCTTTCAAACATGAAGATCCTGAGACACAAACAGGTTGGTTTTCATTCTCAAAGTCTTTCTTCAGTCATGTTTCTCTTTATTGTGTTTACTACATGTAACTCGTGACGAAATGAATGACATCACAAAAATAATAACA